GCATAAAATGTTAGAATTTAACATATTATGATAGTGGCAAGAATTTGGTATTCTTACACTTATGATAAGGATTAGGAATTGTGAAATGAGCATCATTGGAAAAGTTTCAATTGATCTATTTCACAAAGTAAGGACCATAGGAAACATAATGTGCATGCTTGGTGCATGGGACAACTATTATCATAATTCAAGTGTTAAGTTGATTATTCGAAACATTATACAATCAATAATGAGTAGTCAATATGGTGACTAAATAAGAGGTGTTTTATTTATACTCAAAAGTTTTGAGGCCATATAGGATTAAGTATTATTATTGTGATTCACTTTGCATGTTTTGACTTCCAGAATAACTGGGTTATTCGAACCTCCACAGTCGGTCATACGTTGGAAGTAGGTATGAAGGAAGATTGTCATGAATATGTCTGTAGATTGTTTAATGTGTTTAGACATAGCACAAGTTTGCTATAGAGTTCATGAGTGCTTTAATAAGATTAGAGTATTGGATTAAACCCACGCTCACTTGAATCACTTCATGGATTTATCACGAGTGATTGTGAGACGATAATATTGTATATTCTTGAAACCGAGATGTGTAAGTTGTAATTACGATTCGGTTACACATTGATAATATGTAAACGCACCAGCAACTTGGTGTTATAAAACATATTGTTGTGTGTGATTTGATGAGTAAGAGTAAGCGAGCATGTGAGTCGAAATTTATCCATTCCTTTTACCCAAAGTGGGATAAGAGCAATATCTGTGGGCCCCTCGATGATTTAGTAATGACACCCTAAGCGCTTGGCCAAGCCGGGACTAAGTTGATGTGTTTAATTGTAGTATGTTGTCATTCGTCATAAATCGGATGTCAGTAAACAATACATAGACAGAGAGAATTATTTAAATCCATGTCTCGTGTCTATACGATATTTTGTAGAATGGAGGAATATATGATCCCTTATCTAAATGACACGCGTATTTGATAAGATCAGAGTTGACATCGGCTTTTGAAAGCTATGATTACTGATCAGGTTATGAAGTTATGAAAAATAGTTATTAGACTTATCCAAGTGAGAGACTGTTGGATTAGTGTCTAAGTCCATAACTATTTTGGTATGTACTTGACCCGATTATGAGCATGGTCCTTTTGGGTTGCCTTCACCATAGCAACTTGTAGGATGAATTAAGGAGAGAAAGGTTTAATTATGATTTATTAATATATTATAAGTATAATATATTAAAGGATAAATCATATTGTTTAATTAATATCAGTCAAGAGCTAATTAAGAATAAATTTTGTGGCTAAAAGAGATTAATTAAATTAAGGGGACTAATATTGTAATTATAAGATAGTTACAAAGTTGGGCTTAGGATCTATTAGATGGAAATTGACGAATTCTATATGGAGGTCCATAAAGAAATTGTCCAAGGGCCTTCTGGAATGGTCCATTGGACTGCTTAAGGCCTAAGCAGTCAGATTAGGGTTTCTTAGTTGAAAACCCTAATAACCTACATATATAAAGGACCCTTATGGCCCCAAAAACGTGGCTAAGACTTCCTTTAGGGTTTCTAGACATTTTTGGCTGCCCCCTCTCTTCTCCTCTTTATCCTTGTTGCTCTTGGTGTTTGTGACTCCATTAGAGGTGAAACACTTGAGGCACTAAGCTTTCTAAAGCCAATCAAATTAAGGAATAAATTGTTATTGCTACATAACAATCAAAGGTATTCTATAAACCCTAATTCAGTTTATATTATGTTAGATCTAGGGTTTATAGCTTTGGATATTCAATTGCATGTTCATTAGACAAACTAGATCCAAAGCATTAGGGTTTGCATGTACACCATAGGATTGATGTAGTGCTCAAAACCCATTAGTGGTATCAGATCCTATGGTTGTTTGTTAATGAATTTGATGCCTATTTGATTGAATATTAACTGAAAATCGAAAATTTTGAGTTTTTAGGGCTGGACTCGCTGAGTCCATGACTGAACTCGCCGAGTCCATGACTGAACTCGCCGAGTCCACTATGTACTCGACAAGTCCAGTGCTGACTCGCCGAGTCCACTTGGTACTCGACAAGTCCAGTGCTGACTCGACGAGTCAACGAGTCTGCCAGCTGATTTTCGCGATTTTCTTACTGTGTTGGCTTAAAATAATTACCAAAAACATTTTTAATTGATAAAATCCGATTTTTATTGATTTTGGGTGTTTATCCTTACCAAAATAGTAGATAATTACCAATTAATCGAATATTTATTGCCTTATATGAAAATGTTTAAATTATTTGATGAATTATCTTGCAAGGATTTGGATTAGGTCAAAATTAGATAATCACCAATTAATTGTTAATTGCCTTCTTTGAATTTGTGATCTAGAATATTCTTGATATAGTTTTGAAAAGTTTCAAAAACTTGCCCTCAAGTTTTGGAATTTAAATTTGATTAAAAGTTTAATTTGAAATATTAAATTCTAAAACCCTAGTATTTTGAAAAGTTCAAATTACACCCTTATGGTTTTGTTAATTAATTAAAGTGTATAATTAAAAGAGAGTTAATAAATCCATAAAGTTTGGTTTACATTTAAATAAATTAAAAGTATAATTAATTAAATTAGACAATCAAGTATTTTAAAAGTTTAAAATACACCCTATACTATATATAACATTAAAAGTCTAATATTATACATATGTATGAGTTAACTGTCAGTCTTACCGTTAGTAAGCCTTATTCACGAAACTGGTCTATAAAGGGTGTTTAAGTAAATTGTCTATAAAATGACGATTGAATGAGTATCCACTTTTATCCACCGTATTCTTGACTAGTGGAGGGTCGTTAGCCAAACGGGTAGGATAGGAAGAAACCTTCCATTATAAGTATAATGAAGTACAATGTAACATGATTTATGATATTTGTTATGAATTTTTTGATATTTACTCTGATATTTGATATGAGATTTTGATATGTTGACAATTGTTATGACATTTTTGAGATACATGATATATGACTTTTGTATGATGATGATATTTATAGTTTTATTAATGATTTAAAAAAACGAAAAATTTGGACCATATTTCTAGGGATGTTTCACAATACAAGTGTCGATTATGACAAATGGTGCTACTCCTAACACATGGATTCATGATACCCAAGATCGCGGAGGAATCTTCAATATTCCATCATATAGCCAAGATGTTGGAATTGGTCACGAGATAACAAAGAAACTTTGACAATTAAAGGATATGATCTCAAGTGTTTCAAGAGGAATCCAACCTAAATCTTGAAACTCAACATGTGGGTATTATAAATTTTTCATTTTCAGAAAAACGATTGACGATGGTTGAAACTTTGATGTTTTATTCAATAGTTTAAATATTTGTTTTTTTTATTATCTTTATATTTTCAATATTGACAAAGTTATAATGCTCCATAACGACTTGTAATCAGATCTTATATACAAATTTCAAAGCAAGTTACTGTGTGCATTAAAGTTATATTTTGGTCACTTACATAATTTATTTTCGTTTTTATTGATTTCCTTAAGATACAATTTCAAACTTTATTTTCGTCCGACTACTCCATATGTAATTGTTTCGATCACAATTTTATTTTGATACTTTTGTAAACCACTTGATATGCTATTATGTGGATTGTTGACATTTGTAAATCACATTTTAAATACAAATTGCAAATAAACTACCACATGCATTAAAGTTAGGCTTTAGTCTTTTATAGTTTTTGTTTTTATCGATCAAAAACGAATTCTAGGTCGTAAAATGCTAGTTTCATGTAATTTGGCTTCTTTTAATCACCCACATGTAAACAACTATCTAACCTAGTCTCTCTCTCTCTCTCTCTCTCTCTTTCTATATATAATAATAATAATAATAATAAATAAATAAATAAATAAATGTCTTTTTTTTCTTCAACAACATTCATTTGAAACCCCCAACCTTCCAACTTCTTTTTAAATTGTTAGATTAAATCCAATATTATTGTAATTTCAATATTAATTATTTATTCTCACTATAATATAATTAGTTTGTTAATCTAAATATGATGTTAAATTCAAAACATAATTTTTATAACATATTCAAAACCTATTTTTTTTTTTCTAAAACCTATTTTTTTTTCTAAATAGTTAAAAAGTTTAAATATAAGATCTAAATAAAAATATCAAATTAACGAAAAATAATAATAATTAACGTTGACTTTTTATAATAATAATTTTTTCCCTCAAAATAGATAATTTAAAATAAATTAGAAAGTTTAAAAGTTTAAATATAATATTAAATTTAAAACATTTATCAAAAGATAGTTTTAAAATTCATTAAAATAATAAAGATATAAATAAAATATTAAATATAAAACCTACATCTAATTCCACATTCATATACAACTATGCATGTATTTCATTGAAATAATATCAAATAAAATATATCTATCTAAATTGAGTTTATTTTTATTTTTATAGACTATTAAGATGATATGATTTTAAATAAAATAATATAAGATCTATTATTTGATACTTATAGATCCATTACGAAAGTAATTTCGTACAACCATGTTTGATAATGTTTATCATTTATTTAAAATATTTAGAATGTTTTATAATAAATTAGTATAAAAGTTATTAATTTAAAATTACTAACAAGAATTTATTTATTTTAATAACATATATTTATTAATATTTAAATCCTATTTTTCCATATAAACATTCTATTTGATTTTTAAGATTTTTTATTAGTTGAATTTGTATTGTTTTTCAGAAAATAAAAAATTATAAATAATTTATTATAGGATGATATTTTAAGATTTTTTATTAGTTGAATTTGTATTTTATTCCAACCATTTATTTGATTTTTAATTTTTCCATATGAATTTACGACCTTAGTCCCAAAATTATTTTTAAAAATATTTAAGAAGTGTTAATTTAGCAACATCTTTTTGGACCATGGTAAACTTTAGCTTTACTCCATTAATTAATGATTATGATTATTTCGGATAAGAAATTCTCAGTTGTCACTTAAGCCGGGCAGCTGTCTACATCTACCAATATTAATACTGCACGGGAAGACCGAGTCACTCACAAGAGGCGTTTGTTCTTATCGTTTTGGGGGTCGATTTTCTCTGTGATGATCTTACAAACCATCACACCAAACCAAACCTTCACAGATCTGCAATAGACAGGACATCAATGGGGGAAGCGAAGATGATGAAGCGGTCGCTCGATATTTCAGCTTTAGTAGTGTTCCTCTGCTTTTTGGGCGGGGAGTGCAAGTATATGGTGTATGATACTTCTCAAAGCACCCAGGCTGAAAAGATCAATGTTCATTTGGTACCCCACTCTCATGACGACGTTGGCTGGCTGAAGACCGTCGATCAATACTACACCGGTGCTAATAATTCCATTCGGGTAGGGGTACCATCAACTCCCTTTTTTCTTTCTCTGTGTGCGAATTCATAGTGATCGCTGCATAGCATTAACAAGTGGTCGATTTCATTCATTTCTTGGTAATTTGTTACAGGGTGCCTGTGTCCAGAACGTGTTAGACTCCGTGATTTCAGCTTTGCTCGATGACAAGAATCGCAAGTTCATCTACGTTGAAATGGTTAGCTCTCGTTGCTGTTCAATTGACTTCTTATCTACTACCAATTCCGATTCCACATAGAAACCTTTCTATTCTATCTACAAAATTAGAGATTCATCTGTTTTTTCCCAGGCATTCTTCCAGCGGTGGTGGAACCAGCAGAGCGAACTGCTCAAGACTAAAGTCAAGGAGCTCGTCAACACTGGTCAACTTGAATTCATGTCTGTTGACTACGTTAAATATTGAATCTGTTGTATCAAAGAAACATTGTATTGTACTTGTTCTTAACCCTACTTAATTAATTGCTGTTTCAAGAAATGGGGGTATGTGCATGCACGACGAGGCAACACCACATTACATTGACTTGATCGATCAAACAACTTTGGGACACATGTTTATACACCGGGAATTTGGTCAAAAACCTAGAGTTGGTTGGCAGATCGATCCTTTCGGCCACTCTTCTGTTCAAGCTTACTTGCTGGGTGCCGAGGTATGGACTTTGATCTCCCCCCTTATTTCATGTTTATATTTCTGTTCAATCTCGTTATAATTGTTTCAGAAAAGACTGAGGGGCATACTTAAATTATGTCAAATTTCGATTACTACATAAAACATTTAATTACAGGTGGGATTTGACTCTCTCTTTTTTGCTCGAATGGATTATCAAGATAGGGCTAAGAGGAAAATTGACAAGACTCTTGAGGTTGTATGGCAGGGTTCTAAGTCTCTTGGTTCATCTTCACAGGTGTGCACACAAAACATAACATATTTAAGTAATTTATTGCGAACTGTTGAAAAATCTTTCTCAACGACCGACTTGCAGTTATTTACTGGTATATTTCCCAGACATTATGATCCCCCAGATGGTTTCACATTTGAAATAAATGATGTATCTCCTCCTATTCAGGTAAAAAATAAAACACTGTCACTGTGTTGTGTGATATTTGATTTGTATGTATTGTAGGGTTATTTTGTTTTTCTTACTAGTAAATAGTAATACTAATTCTATTATATAATAGGATGATGTTCTCCTGTTTGACTACAATGTTCAAGAGCGGGTAAATGATTTTGTGGCTGCAGCCATGGCTCAGGTATAAGGTGTGACATGAAACTTTGTATGTAGGTATATATAAAATAATAAGGAGCTATGTCTCTTCTAAATCCTAATTATATTTCAGGCTAATGTAACAAGGACAAACCATATAATGTGGGCCATGGGAACCGATTTCCGGTATCAATATGCAGTTTCATGGTTCAGACAGATGGACAAATTCATTCATTATGTTAACCTGGTATTTGCCTTTCTTTTCATCTGTTATTTTCTCTTAGATTAAAATTAATAATTAATAATTGTTTTATTGGTATTGTTAAGGATGGGCGTGTGAATGCACTGTATTCTACCCCATCCATTTACACAGATGCGAAACATGCAGCCGATGAAACATGGCCTCTAAAAACTGATGACTTCTTCCCGTAAGTAAATGAATACCCTTTCCTCTATGTTGTGGATGTGATTGTGATTGTGATTGTGTCCTAAAAGATGAAATCAAAACTTTTAGATATGCAGATAAAGAAAATACGTACTGGACAGGATACTTCACTAGCAGGCCAGCTTTTAAAGGTTATGTGAGGACAATGAGCGGTTACCATTTGGTAAGTTACTAATACTTGTTTTAAAGTTTAAACAATCACTCACCTGCTACAATTTACAAATTCAATTCAGGCTGCAAGACAGTTAGAATTTTACAAAGGGAGGAACAATTCTGGACCAAATACAGATGCCTTGGCCGATGCTCTAGCAATTGCTCAACATCATGATGCAGTTAGTGGTACACAAAGGCAGCATGTGGCTTCTGATTATGCAATGCGTATCTCAATGGGCTATGTACAGGTAGCTACACCTTATAAAACCAAACATGATGAATGATATTTATTAACATCGATTGATAAAACAATGCAGGCTGAGGAAGTAGTAGCTTCATCATTAGCATTTTTAACATCATCAAGATCAAGTAAAACTTCAGTTGGCACGATTCACCAAGTAATCTTATGCAACTTCTAATTTTGATTAAAGATTTGCCCAATAGCTAATTTAGTTAGTGGTAACTAATTTTGATATTTCAGTGTCCTCTCCTTAACATAAGTTACTGTCCTCCCTCAGAAGCTGTTTTGGCTAATGGAAATAGTTTGGTGAGCATAATGCTCTTCTTGATTTTCTTATTTATTTCATGTCTAGATTCTGAGTATAATGTCAAGCCTTGTTATATTTATAGGTGGTAGTTGTCTACAACCCCCTAGGATGGAATAGAGAAGAAGTGGTCCGAATTCCTGTGAGTTTGTTTCAGTCCCATTTATTTGACTTTAGTTTCGATTCTATAATATGGTTTTATTGACTTGATTCAATAAATGCTACAGGTTTCCTCCAATGAGTTAATTGTTCTGGATTCAAATGGAAGAGAAATAGAATCACAGCTGCTTCCTATGTTTAATGCCTCTTTAAACATGAGAAAGTACCATGTTAAAGCATATCTTGGTAAAACTCCAAGCAATACACCCAAATATTGGCTTGGATTTACAGCATCTTTACCACCTCTTGGTTTCAACACCTACATCATCTCCAATGCAAAACACGCAGGTCAACTCTTTGAATGTATTGTTCAAATTTGGAAATCTTTATGTCAAGGATCATATCATATGACACGCGTACTGATGATCAACAGATACAAGTTTAACAATGTCGACAGTTCTGACATCAGACAATATTAGTGATGAAACTGTAGTTGTTGGTGGAGGAAATTTGAAGCTGCATTATGCTACAGACGAGGGAAAGCTTATACGTTATACAAATAAAAGAAGCTTGGTAACTATTCCTTAAATCCAAATATACTATTTAATTTTTCAGCTTGATAGACATTCTCTTTTTTGGCACATGGTTTGAAGGTTGAAGGAGCCATGGAACACTCGTACAGCTACTATTCTGGTTATAATGGGACAGACCAGGTATATTCAATTTCTCAACTAGAATGTGTGTGTGTGTGTGTGTGTGAAGTTAATTACATGAATTTTGTTCATTTTCTGATGTTGTTCCTAATTTTTGAAGGCTTCTGGAGCTTATATCTTCCGTCCTAATGCCACATTTCCAATAAAATCTCAAGGGCAGGTAAACCATACTCTTTTGGGGTAGTTATCCACTACTGTTGCAAGTGACTAATGATTTCTTTCGTTGCAGAAAGCTTTTACTATCGTGAGGGGACCACTAATGGATGAAGTGCACCAACAGTTAAACTCCTGGATATATCAGGTCACCCGTGTATACAAGGAGAAGGAACATGCTGAAGTTGAGTTTATCGTAAGAATTTTATTCCCTTTTGAGTTAGTGTAGTTGTAGTAGTTTCCTGTTGACCAGTATGTGTGTGTGTGTGTGTATTCTCTAATTACATATCTTATGATTTGGTACTACCAGATTGGACCTATCCCTATAGATGATGGTGTTGGGAAAGAAATAACAACTCAGATCACAAGTGCCTTGAAGACAAACAAAACATTCTATACAGATTCTAACGGGAGAGACTTCATTAAAAGGGTATATATTTTATAGATGGCTGTTTCTGTACTCTAATACTTGTCTCTCACATGATAAAATTTACTGTATTGCAGGTTCGTGATTTCAGAACAGATTGGGAGCTGCAAGTGAATGAACCAGTTGCTGGAAATTATTACCCAGTACGTGTTCACATGTCATCATTGTAGTGTGTTTTATGATTAATGTAATAAAATGATTTGGTTAGATAAATCTTGGAGCTTATGTTGAGGATGGAAGTATGGAACTCTCAGTGTTGGTGGATCGTGCAGTAGGTGGCTCTAGTTTAGTAGATGGTCAAATAGAACTAATGCTTCATAGGTATCAGTCTCATTCAAACATTAATTGTAACTTATAAATATATATATATATATATATATATATATATATATATTATAATTTGCTTTCTTTGTAATATAATAGGAGGCTATTATATGATGACGTGAAAGGTGTTGGTGAGGTGCTAAATGAGACAGTGTGTGTCCTGAATGATTGCAAGGGCCTGATGGTAATCATTTTGCTTCATTGCAGTATGTCCATCAATGATGGAGTCGAGTAGTTAAACATATGAACTCTAATCAACATAACGTGCACTCTTTCCTTGTTTTATATTGTTTTCCAGATCCAAGGAAAATATTATATTAGAATGGATCCAGTAGGAGATGGAGCCAAGTGGCGTCGCACATTTGGTCAAGAAATTTATTCTCCACTCCTTGTGGCATTTGCACAACAGGTTAACTGATCTTTTGTTTGTTTATTTTTTCATTTTTTTTTTGTAAATAAATATACAGCCCTTATATATATATATATATATATATATATATATATATATATATATATATATATATATATATATATATATATATATATATATTTGTTGCAGGATGGAAGTGATTGGAAAAATGATCATGTATCATCCTTCTCGATGATTGATGCATCCTATAGCTTGCCAAACAACACAGCTATTATAACTCTACAGGTATAATATATATAATCATTATACTTGGTGGACTAGTAAATTTGTTCATTGGGGCTATTCATACCATGATTAAGTTGATTTGTATTGTATTTGATGATTGCAGGAGCTTGAAAGTGGAAAAGCACTCCTTCGTTTGGCTCATCTATACGAGGTTCAACCAGACTGTTCCAAGTTTTTTTTTCCTCATGAAATGTTTAGTTATGATTATAAACTGGCGGGGCGTTTGTTATATGGATTGAAAGGTGGGGGAAGACAAAGATTACTCTGTAATGGCAAGTGTGGAGCTGAAGAAGCTGTTCCCAGATAGGAAGGTATATCCATAAGTTGGTTTTAAATGTGATTATTTTGTTGTCCATTTGATTTCTGTGTGTGTGTGTGTGTGTGTTTCTCAGATAAGGAAGGTAACAGAGATGAATCTGTCGGGTAATCAAGAAAGAGGCGAGATGGAGAGGAAGAAGCTTGCTTGGAAAGTGAAAGGTGGATCTGAGAGGGAGATAGTTAGGGGAGGTGGGGTTGATCCTGAAAAGCTAGTGGTGGAACTTGGGCCCATGGAAATCCGAACATTCTTCATCGACTTGTATTATCTTGGGATGTTTGGTTCGGTTAATGATGAGGTGTTTGGCTGATGACTATGTTTACTGGTGACATCGATCCAATCTGTCTCCAATACGAATACGAGGGAACAAATAAAAATGGAAAACAGAAAATGTGGGCTGCTCTTTTTGCAGGCCGACCTTGGGTTGTACAACCCAAGGTTTGTGCTTTTCCACATCAAAGTTGAAACATGGACGCGTGTTGATGTTTTTATTTGACATTTTTTCTTTTGATTTGGTTATAAACTGGAATCTTTTATTTTTATAAAAAAGTAACAAAATCCGAATACTTTTATAAATAGTTAATATCACCATAATTTTAGTTTTGTTTTATATTTAAAGACATCTTTAAAAATGTCCGATGGTTTTCAAAAAAATTGAGTTCACTTCTTAATTTTTTTTAAAGATCATCTTTGTGGTTTGAAAACTTTGGATCATCTTTATGGCTAACACTGTGAGTCTAACCATGTGAGGGTAACGTCTTGATCATTCTTGAAGTTGTTTTGAAATTTTTATTAATTGATTTTATTAATAAAGAAAATAACTCCTCTCTCTCTCTCTCTCTCTCTCTCTCTCTCTCTCTCTCTCCAACCACCATCGAATTGCTGCCATCCTTTGTTGCCATGCTGTTGACTATTTCAAGAATAGATGATTTTGCCATTGGAGCTGTGATGGATTAGAAATGGTGTAGCCATGTGCAAAAGAAAGAGAGGAGAGGCGAATTTATTGGTGAAATGATGACGATACTTATCCGATCCATTAACTACTAGTGCATTCACATTTACTCTTACATATTCCCAAACATCAGGTTTGAGATAATCACAAGTGCAACCCATGGAGGCAACACTATTGCTTCCTATCAGTTAAAAACAAAAATACAAAAACAAAGGATCAACAGATGCATGACGATTGTCATTTTAGTGTGTTTGTTCAATCATATACCCGTGTGGATTTGAGAACTTCATGAAAGGAACCATCATGAAGCTTGGTATCCTCCTTGCAGATTGCATCAAAGTTAGTCATGAGTTAGTGAGGTTTCAATATTCATTTTCAACGGCTCTCGATTCTTGAGAATATCATATTATAAACACACACTCTGGTAAATTTCTCTCTATCTCGTATCTCTTATAACCTAAGACATGTATGTATTGTGTTAGATGCATGAATCAACAACATACTTTTGTTTGTCTTCTAAAAATTCTCAAAACTTCAAGAATAGGGGTTGTAATTTTGTCTAGCCTAGGAACTCTAGTTGTCTCCTTCATTCTGATCTTGCTTATGTTCTCCCTTGATAATAAGCATATTATCCTCGACATACACCTTTAGATCTTCCTTGGAGAGTCTCAGAATGTTAAATCTCATCTTGATTTCATTCTCAATAGAAGACACCCAATTCATAACACTCATTTTTTCGTGATAAATCTCTAAATTAATCGAAAATAGAAAAAGTTAATTGCACCTTAATGAATCAATATTCATGTTAATGAGCAGTTGGGAACGCCAATTCATGAAAGGAACCATCATGAAGCTTGGTATCCTCCTTGCAGATTGTATCAAACTTAGTCATGAGTTAGTGAGGTTTCAATATTCATTTTCAACGGTTCACGATTCTTGAGAATATCATATTATAAACATACACTCTGGTCAATTTCTCTCTATCCCGTATCTCTTATAACCTATGACATGTATGTATGGTGTTAGATGCATAAATCAACAACATACGTTTGATTGTCTTCTAAAAAATTCTCAAAAATTCAAGAATAAGGGTTGTAATTTTGTCTAGCCCAAGAACTCTAGTTGTGTAACATCCGGTTCTTGGTATGTATTTAAAATCATAATTTATGCACTTTCATAGAGAAACTCGACGTATTGGGAGCCCCAGACTCGTCGAGTAGAGATGAACTAGTACGCGGGTTAAGAAACCTACTCGACGAGTTGAAGGCCTCAACTCGACGAGTAGGCTGGCAGAAATGAAACCCTAAGTTTTAGGATTTTGTACCCTATTTAAAGGCCTTAATGTTTCATTGTAGCCTCCCTCATCGTCCCCTCAAAACCCTAATCGTTCCTCTTTCCCCATTTTGAGTGTGTGTGAGCCTAAAGAGTGTTCTTTGGTGCTTTTCTTGAAGGAGTGTGAAGTTGGTGGTGCAAAGTTGAAAGGAAAAGCTTTAGATATGGGATTTTCAGTGTTTCTGCAACCATTTGGAGGTATAAACTCGATACATTGACTATTTATTTGCTAGATCTATCCTTTGAGAAGTTTATGGCCTTTAGTAGCTTATTTTGGTGTTGTTCATGGATTTGAACATGTTATGAAGTCATGACTTCAGATCTAGACATTTCATGACCTATTGAGACTTAAAGTTGCCAGCTTTATCAAGTATTGGCTCTCCTGCATGCCTTAGGTCCCTTATAAAGCTTAGTTTTAATGTTTTAAGCCTCTTGATACCATGCATGGACGTAAAGTTAGCAACTTTACGTGGTATCTCAGCCCAAGGGGACCAGATCTATGGTTTGGAGGCATTAGAATTTCTTGGAAGTGACTGAATGAGTTAAGACTAAGTAACTCGACGAGTTGTTTACCCAACTCTGCGAGTTGGATCGTGGTCCACCGACCTTTTTGATTACTGAGAAAACTCGATGAGTTGAAGAGATGACTCGGCAAGTTTGCTAAGGTTTTCTCGGTTTTCAGAAGATAGAAGAAACTCGACGAGTTGTACTGAAAAGTCCCAATTCTGTGGAGAAGGAGGAACTCGGTGAGTTGGATGAAAACTCGACGAGTTGGATTGCGATTTCACGATTATGTGATTTATAGGAACTCGGCGAGTTGATTCAACTCGTAGCGTTGACTTTGACTTAGACCAAAGTTGACCCTTAAGGGGTTATGAGTATGAAAGGGTGATTAAGGAAATCTTTTATGTATAGAAGCTTGAGTTGGGTTGATTTTCGAAGCCGAGGATTTTTAGCTACATTCTAATATTTGAGGTGAGTTACCTTCCTATATGAGTGGGTCGAAGGCACCAATGTCGGTCCACTAGTAGTTGTTTATAGTAGAGATGATTGTCTTTATGATAATTGTTTGGTATGTCACTATCTGTTATGCTTTATTGCTAGTATGCTATGATAGTATGTGATAGTGGTAGGAGGAGCAGATTAGACCCTGTAACCGATTGAGATAAACCATAGGGTAGGTCGGACACCTAGATATGCCTGACAATATGGTTATGATATCTTATTATATGGTAGTGGTAGGGGTGAAATAGACCCTGTAACTGGTTGAGATAAACTGGAGGCTAGGTCGGGCACCCAGATATGCCTGACAGGGTAGGTTGGGCACCCAGATATGCCTGAAAGGGGTAGGTCAGGCACCCCGATATGCCTGACATGGGTAGGTCGAGCACCTAGGTATGCGCAACAGGGTAGGTCGGGCACCCAAATATGCCTGATAGTATGTTTATTGTATGGTATGTGGTATGATGTGGGAACTCACTAAGCTTTGTGCTTATGGTTTTCAGTTTTGGTTTCAGGTACTTCTTCTTCGAAAGGAAAGGAGTCGCCATGATTGCAGCCCATCACACCATGATTTCCACACATGAGATCTTTGGGAGTTATACTCCAATGATGTTATATTTTGACATGTTTGCTTTTTGACATTTTGGTTTTGATATGGATGACACAATGGATGTTTTTATACTAATGGTTTTATAATTACTTAATTTAAAATGAAAATTTTCGGTCTTGAATTTTGGGATGTTACAAGTTGGTATCAAAGCCTTAGTTTGAGGGATGCAGGTACACTCTCGGATGTGTGTGAACTCAAATCAAGGGGTTAAAAGGTTTTTACAAGAAAAATAATTTTTCGAAAAGTTAAAATTAAGGGTTTTTGAGAAAGAACAAGGAGTGTGATGCGTGCAATCGGCCGACCTCAAGTAAGTTTCCCCAAGATACCATACATGTTTGCTATGATATATGATATGATTATGAAAATTTCATGTTAGAAAAGGGCTAAGGATCTAGGAAGGATGCCTTATATGCCTGCTATATGTGCTTACTGAATTGCATGCTAGTACTGATGAGTCAGTGATATGATGACTTGAATAGGATACACTGGTTTTGGTTACTCAATGCACGAATGTTGCTTGCTTTGTGCTTTTAGGAGTCCTAGTTATCTTTAACTAACTAGTAAATGAATACATTAAGTTACATATTACGAGGACCAAATAATTCCAAAAGGTTAGGTCTATCCCTATTTCACAACTCTTGTTTAAGTCCAACCGTTGTAGGGTAGGACCTCTCATTCGAAGAATTATATGGTCTTAGTAATATGTAATGGTATTCGCAAGCTAGTTAAGGAGAGATAGTAAGGACTTCTTATGCAATTGATGACAAAGAGTAGGTCGGAGAATACCCTAGGGTAAGCCTAGGACGATATTAGTATAATGAGCAGTAGTAGTGAAAGGGAATTGGTGAGGTCGAAGCAATCCTTGAGGAAAGTACGGATAGATGTGGAAGGTAGTATGGATCCGTACTACTGAAAGCAAAGGATCTGTACTCGAGTCAAGGAGAACTGAGATTAAACCAGGGAACTTGTAGTGAGCATGAGGTCTCTTGATATTATGTATGACTCTGATGATTGTGTGGTTTGTTTCAAAATGGTGATGACACATCACATAGCAGGAGGTTCAGGATCTGGGTGAGGTTCAGTTACGGGTCCCGAGCCAGTTGACGATGGATTGTGAGAGTTCATTGCATCCTAGATTACGAGAGGCATCCTTGAGGCGACCCCAGTGATTTTCAGGTCGATCAAGGAGGGTATCATTGAGATGATGGAGGATCGCCTTAGGGGATTCAAGAGTGACATGGCACCATGCCAGTCAGGGACTCGTACGCTCTCCTTCAAGGATTTTAGGTAATGCAGAGCACCAGACTTGTACGGGCTGAAAGACCCCATTGTGTCCAGGAGATGGATCGCAGACATGGAGTCTGCATAGGTGTTGAGCTTATACCATGAGTGTCGAAGGCCAGGTTCACTACTGGGTTTTTGAGGGAGCGAGCTAGAGACTGGTGGGAGGCAGTCAGTGATACTTTTGGACCCCCAACCATCGAGGTCATAACTTGGTCAGATTTTGTGTCCAGGTTTCGGGCGGAGTTTGTGCCAGCCGTGGAGGTTCAATAGCTGGCCATAGAGTTTTTGGATATGAGACAGAATACGAAGACAGTGGTGTAGATTACCTTCAAATTCAGGGAGAGGGCCTTGCTGGTACCTCAGTACGCGGGTGATGAGGAGATGAAGAAAACTCGGTACCATGATATGTTGAGAGCTGACATTCGGAAATATGTCAGCTATTCGGCGTGCCCGACTTTGGACGATATGATAACTAGGGCACGCGAGAGGGGGATTAATATAGAGCATGTTAGGAAGAGGAAGGCGGAGGCTAGGTAGACGATTGGGGTTTTGGTGAAGAAACCCAAGGGATTCAACTCGAGGTTGAAGGGCCAGCAGGGTCAGAGCCGATGTGGGAAATGCGGCAGGCCACACGAGGGAGTGTGCAGAGCTAGGGGATAGGGCTACTA